TGGCTGGTGGGTTTGAACCGCCAGCCTTCTGGTTAGCAGTCAAGTGCTTTAGCCACTATGCTACCAGAGCTCCTATACACATGCATATTCCTATTATTACTAAAAACAATTCCAAACTGGTCAGAGTTATTCATTCTCTGATATGCTAGAATAACAGAGTTTTAACTAGAAGGAACTTAAGACATTATCTAGTATAACTTCTCATTTCACAGAAGTGGACAGTGAGGAGCAGAGAAGTTGAGAATCTCCTGTACCACACACTGTGAGTAACAAGGCCAGGCTAATAATCCATGGTTGTTTTGTTTGATTGCTGTGTTTGTCATATTGCTTAGTTTTAACTGCTTTGCTTCCGCCAAAATTCTAACAATTGTCAGTGTTACTAACCATTTTTAATCAAGGTAAAAGTTCATTATCTTACCTAGATGTAGTATTTTCTTTCATGTAACTAGCATAAGAAAAATTTATTCATATTCTATTTAATTGACAATTTTTCCTTCTGAAATAAATGTGAGAAGAAGTGGGGTTCAGGTGGGGAAGGATACAAAACAACTACAGGGTATTACTTCAGTAATTGTAACAAATGGAAGCCAAGGATGTGATGATACCTGATGGTACTTACAGCAAGTAACCAAGAGGATCTTCAAGAACTTTGGATACCTTGGGGTGCTTAAGTCTGGAAATAATGCACTGTCCCAGACAGCTCTGATTCATAGAAGCATGTGGGTGAATATGAGAAGGGCATTCTAATTGACACCCAGTTAAGTAAGAAAGAGAAAGGATTTCATTGGACATATCTGATTTAATAGAAACACATCTGGAGCTATTGCAGTCTCAACTACTTTCTTCCTTGTAAGATGGAGCTATGTCTGCCCCACCTCACAGTTTAGTGAAGGGTCAGTGCAGTAATGTTATGAAAGGACTCTGTAAAGTGTGGTGGTTCAAAAACACAATTTATATTTAATATCTGTTTTACTTCCTACTGTTGTTTTAATAAAGGGTAATATTTACATAAATAAAAGTAAAAACATTCATTTAAATACATTTAAATATATTTACATGTAAATTAAATGTTTATACATAGGTATACTTAAGAAAAAAAAAACCTACTGCCATCAAGTAGATTCCAACTCATAGAGACCCCAATGAGTTTCGGAGGCAGTAAATCTTTACAAAAGAAGACTGCCCTGTCTTGCTTCCACAGAATGGCTGGTATATTTGAACCACCAACCTTCTGGTTAGCAGTCAAATGCCTTAGGCACTGCACCACCAGCCCTCCTTAAAAGTAGGTTTAGATACATTTAGTGAGATCATATAGTTTTTAACCTGTTGCTGGTGGAGTCAATTCCAACTCCCAGCAAACTTAGAGGACACAGTAGAACTGTCCCATAGGGTTTCCAAAGCTGTAAATCATTATGGAAGCAGACTGTCATATCTTTCTTCCATGATGTGGCTAGTTGATTCAAGCCACTGACCTTTAGGTTAGAAACTGAGCTTCGAAATAGATCTGGACTTGAATCCCAAATGACTTAAACTTCTGTTTGAGTCTTAGTTTCTTCACTTGTAAAATTAGGGGACTATTAGTACCTCCCTCATAGAATGATTGTGAGGATTTAATGAGTTGTTGTTGTTATTGTTGTTGTTTGCCGTCGAGTCTGACCTGACTCATAGTGACCCCTCCTTGGGTTTCCGAGGCAGTATCACTACGAAAGTAGATTGCCCCATCTTCCTTCCGAGGAGTGGCTGGTGGATTTGAACCGCCAGCCTTCTGGTCAGCAGTCAAGTGCCGTAGCCACTATGCTACCAGA